CATTTTGCTTCCCTATTTTATTCTTCCCTTTGTTCTCTCCTCAGGCACTTCTCATTTTCTCAAGAGCATTTCTGTTTCTTCTCACTGGCATACTCTACCTCACCTATTGAGCAACCCTTCTTTCAGGCACCCTGTTCCTTAAAGGGTACTCTAAACTAACATGTTCATCCTTCTTCACATGAAAAACCAATTATCCCATGATTTCTCCTACTACAGTTCTCTCCAATGAATTTGCTGGCTTTGTGGTCTCCCCCTTAGCTTTTGACTTAATTCTCTCTTGTGCAGACTTGCTTGATTTTCCTCTGGAATCTGACAATGTCTCCATTGACTTCACCACCTTCATCTGCCTTAAAATCTCTTCCCACAACTGGCTTATCATTTAATTTACTTCTCTTCCAACTTGAATAGTCATTTGAGTGTCTCTACTGATAATTTTTTCCTTTTCTAGCAAGCAATTTGCTTCTCTTTATTTTTCCCATTTTGTCTTGTACAGAGCTATTTTCCTCAATCTTTTTTTTTTTTTTATGTTTTCACAACTTTTTTCCCTCCTCTATTCACTTTTCTAACAGAGAATTTCAAGGTCTGACAGCATCCACCAAAAGCCCAAGTTCCCATTTCATCCATGAAAAGTTTATCAGTGATTCCCTCTCTCCACACCTTGCTTGATGCATATTTGATCTAGTTTTTATACTTGGTGATCATGCTGTATTCCTTTGGATGCACTGGGAAAGGGACTTTGAATGTCAGGGTCATCAGTGCTATCAAGTTCAAGCCTCTTGCCAGACTTTAAAGTGTTCTGAAGGAAGGCTCCCTCAGTAACTGGGGTTAAGGCCATGCTTTTCCATGTGGGTCTTAGACACTTTGGAAAAGCTGCTAACCTGACTCTTATATTTTTGGGAAAGCCTGTTGATTTGCAGGAGGAGCCCATATTTCCTCCACAAGCAGTATCACTGCTGACTATGCAAATACTCCCATATTCTCAGCATGGCAATGAAAACAAGCATGATAATTGTTCCAACTGCATCATTTTATATTAGAGGACCAATATCAGATAAAAGCAATATAGTTCTACAGCCATTTTTTGGGTATCATTTGCTGTAGATCTTGTAACTTCTTTTTGGCTTTGATAGGTTCACAGTGATTTACCCCCCTATGAATATTTGCTGTATTACTCTCAAAAAGCAGCTGGAAACAAGACTGTATATTTCTTGCAATATTTTTTAAAATCTGCATCCCTGAAAACCTCTTAAGACAATAGATAAACCAGCAAATCCATTGAGATCACATATGGCATTCTGGGCTTACCTGAAGAAAGAGACCTGAAGAAATTTCACTAATCTGCAATAGCTGAAGCACTCTAACAATGAACTGTGGTTTTGTCCCAGTGGAAACACCTGACAATTGCATTGAGGCTATTCCCAGGCAGCATTGTGCCTTGGAGGATTTTTTTTGTCATTTTACTCTTACTGCTAAATTAAACTCAGGATTTTCAGTCAATCTTTATTTTCATAAAATGAAATATGTTCCAAATTTTTTTCTGCCAGTTTGGGGCTGAATTATTAGCTAGAACTCATAGCAAGAGACGCTCACAGGCAGAGACTTAGGAGGATGGCATCACTGAAGGACACTGCCCTCCTTTCCTGCCACCTTTGGACCCCAGGTCCACCAGGGTTTTACTCTGCAGGGGCAGGGTGGCTGATCCTCCCTCTGGTCACCCCATTTTGTTGGCTGTGGATACCCCTGCATTGCAAATGCAACCCACTCAGGGATTAAAGCACAGACCTATTCTCTGTACTAGTAGAGAGCAAGAGGAAAATTTTCTCTTTAACTCTCTGACCTGGACTAAGCTCTTGATTAAGCTTTAAACCATCTCTCAGTTTTATACCAATAAGCAGGAAAAAATGGCCCAAGAGTGAATGTTACATCATCTTCACAACAGCTGATGTAGCTTGCCATAGTTACACATTCCCACATAAATAGTGATGCTATCTGACCCTGGAGAGTGTCAAACACCTTGGTGGTGTTCTGGGACATCCTGAGAGTGACTTTACCAATGACAAAAATTCATACTAACTGATCAATAACTATAGTACAACAAGCTGGAGCAAACAAGGTGCAACAACCCTGATAAAACTTTATAGGAGACGGCTTTCAAAAACTGATCAGAGAATGAAGTCCCTTCAGTAGGATCTTGTTGGCAAATTTAACAGCCTCAAAGACAGGTTCTCACACCCTGTGAAATTTGAGGCAGGATTCTCAAACTGCACTGCTAAACCAGACTTTTGGTGGGTGCACACCTCATGTGACCCACCTGAATTCTTGTAGGCAAACAGAGAATTTAGCCCATGGCTTTAAAGGTAAAATTGTAATTTGACCCCATAATGTTGCAGAAGCAACATTAGAATCAGGTCTTTCATGTCTTATACTATTCCATACAGGACTCTGTGAGCCACAGGACAACTTATGTTCTGTAGGACACTGCCATGGGCAAGTTGTGTTCACAAAGAACATCCAAATTGTTCTTTCTTTAATGCCACTACATGCCCCTACGCTGCCTTCATTTCCAAATTCAGCTCCACTTATGTAACACAGACCACTGAACTGAATGATAGCATTGTTTGTAATGTATTTCTTTTATTTTGGCTTTCCAGTCTGATTTAGTACTTTGCTTTGTCACATTTATTTAACTGTAAAAACATTATGTGAATCCAGAAAGATACTTTATCCCTGCATCTTGCTTTAGATCCAGTCTTCCAATGATAAAATTAGAATCTTACTCCTAGACAAGGTGTCAACATTTGCCTAAAAAAACTTTATTCCTTTATTTGTAGAAGCTTATAAGTAGGTCATCAACACAAGTAACCCAGGCAAACATCAACAGTGACTAGAAAAGCATCTCAGCTCCATGATGAAAGTCTAGTTTTAATGTACTTGATACCAATGCCATTTTACTTGTCTTCAAATTATAGAGCAGTAAAGCAACCAATATTTTTTCTATTTTGGAGTGTGTTTTATGTTTTATATATTATGGAGGGCTCTAGAGATATTAAGAGTAGTGGAGAGCAGTATTCTTAAAACAAACCCTCAACAAACAAACAAACAAACAAACAATCAAGAAAAAACTCACTGAAATTAAAGTATGAAATATTCTAGTAGGGGAAGATTAGCTTGCATTGCTCTTCAAATAATCAGTTCATTAAGAAGGATTTGCATGAATTGTTACTGATTTCACTCAAAGGATGATCATTACAGAAGTATAATTTTTCTATTACCTTAACTATGAATAAAATTAGCTTAATGTGCAATCTTTCCCAATACAACTGGAGTAGTTACCTTCTCTTAGAATACATTTATCAACATAAATAATAGCATAAGAATCAAGCATGATTTAGGTGTATTTCAACAAAATGAAAACCGTAAATTTTCTAAAATATGTATTTGATCAGGTGGATTGTGTGATTTTCAAATTGTTTTCATGAATATTTAATCAACATGAGACATATACTTATGCAAGCTGAAATAGGTAGCAGTCTGTGTCCCAGGCTGTTCTGTTTCACAGTCTTTCAATTGAATGTTTTTTAAAGCTGATTTAACTAATTAAAAAAACCACCACCACCAACAAAAAGAACTAAAATCATCTTCAGCAGGTGGCATAAACTGAGAAGCCAAAGAACTCACAAACTACCAGCAAACCCTTAGTTCATTTCAATGCAGTATTGGTGAGATGCCTGCCTAGTTTTTTATCAATTGGTTGAGTTTTATCAAGATTGCTGAAATACACAGATGTGTACATAAAATGATCCATTGAATCTCTGTGATATCATGGGGGGATAAAGCCCCCAAAATCCAACTCTCCCCCCAAAATCCTACCTATAGCCTGGCACAGAGATTCACTTTCTCACACCCACATGTGCGGCTGGCACACACACAGATGGAAGGTACGTACCCACACACCTCTAGGTCTACAGAGGGTTAGATAAACCCTGCCTGGGAATAAAAAACACATTCCCATGAGCCTGGACATATAAAACATCCACATGAACCCAAGCAAACACATAGGCACAGATACACACACCTGCACACCCAGAGACACAGGGACATGGGCAAGGCACATCCACAGGCACAGACAGCTCCAGAAGCACACACACCCCTGCACAGCTCCTGTGTACTCACATGGACACACAGATTGTATATCTGAGGAAGAGTTACTATGGCTATATCATCCCTGCTAATCTCTCCTTCCTTTTTGAAATAATCCAATTTTAGGATCCTGGAGCGAGCCAGGTCCCTGCAGAGGGGATATTCCCAGAGGAGCAAAGCACTTCCAATTTCTTTAGGGTTCCCCACCTCTCTCCCCCTCTCTCCCAGCAGCAGATCCAGGGAGATGAGCTGGGCACTCAGCACAGCTTTCCCACTGCTGGCTTGGCACTTTTCACCCCAGGATAAGAAAGGGCATAGGATGGCAAGCTTAAAATCTCATCCCTTCACCCCCAAAGCCTGTGGGAGCAGGAACCTCTGGGCAACATCTGGACACAGCTCCTTTCTGCACACTGCCCCGACCCCCCAGCTGTCGACCACAGGGGTGCCCCTAAACCCTACCCTTGCTCTGCAAGTGTAAAAACCTTTGTTCTCCTCCTGCTCCCCCCTTCCCAGTTTCTCCTGCCCCCCAAATCCCGTCAGGAAACCTCCTTGCATTTTGCCGCTCCAAACTTTTTCCTGGCTGCACAACCCGCAGCCCCCGGGGCAGCGGCTGCGTCTGGTCCAGGGGGCAGAATGGGGCGGGGGTGGGCTGCAGGGACCCGGGATGCAGGGATCCAGGCTGCAAAGTGTGCGATGCAGGGAGCGGGATGCGAGCGCTGAGATGCGGGATACGGGGATGTGAGGACCGGGATGCGCGAATTCGAGACGCAGGATGCAGAGGGGGGATGTGGGATGCAGGGACCAGGAGGCGGGATAGCAGCGCCCGGCTTCTTACCGTGCAATGAGGGTAGGTCCTGGTGAGGGTCTCCAGCTGCCCCCGGGCATCGCGGGCTTCCCGATGTGCTCGTTAAACATCCACCGGGGAGTCTCACCCCCCAAACTTGTGTGAGCCGCTTCCTCTGGGAACAATCACCCTTTCTCCCCCCCGCCTTGGATCGGATCCCGATGGAAACTCATCAAGGCCTCCTAAGTGGTCAGAGGTAAGCTGTGAGGGAAGGAGAAGAGGGGGACAACGGGACGGAGAGGTCGCGATCACCAAGCGATGATCCCTTTCCTTGCCCCGCTCCTCTGGAGCACCCGCTTCCCGTTCCTCTGACCAACTTTGGCTCTGCTCAGCCCGGCAGCGCCTGGGACCGGCGCTGTCAATTGGGGTCCCTTTTCGCAGCCTGGCATCTTTCTAGATTTCCTCTCCTTTCCGGGCAAAGGGGATTGGTGCAAAGCTTTAAATTAGGAGGCGACCTAGAGTTGCAAAGACACGGAGTGGGAGCTGGCTGGCGTTCGCAGCCCGCCTCCCCCGGCGCTCGGAGCTGCGCGGAGGGGCCGGCTGAACCCTATCCCTACCATTTATTCATTGACTGCCTTCCTAATTCTCACTCCGGAGCTGGCTATGGCTCCTGGCACGGCCGGGAGCGGGGCTGTGGCAGGAGCCCTGGGAAGGAGGCGAGCCCCATGCTGCGGGGCTCCCCGCGGCTGTTTAACTGCGCCGGCAGCGCGGGCAGAGCGCAGCCCGGCCCCGGGGGGAGGACGGGGCTGGGGGGGGACGGGACACGGGGACGCTGCTGTCGCCTGGCAACCCCGCATCCCTGCCCCGAGCATCCCTCCCCCAGCGCCCTGATTGGACGGGGCCGGGGCGGGGGGAGCACAGGCGCTCCTCCGAGGATGCTGCGCCCCGGCACTGCGACTTGTCGCATCCTCAAAAAGCCGGGAGCGGGCAGGGTGAGCACAGAGCAGCCGGGAGAGCCGAGGCAGTTCAGGGCGTTGTAGCACCGTCCTCCTGCCTTCTCGCTTCCAGCTGGCTTGATCAATTTGCTTCTGCTCTACATCTCCTAGAAAAAGAATGTATTTGTGTGTGTATGTATGTATGTATGTATGTATGTATATATGTATGTTTGTGGATGGATACATAGATAGATGGATGGATAGATAGATGGATGGATAGATAGAAAGATAGATAGATGGATAGATAGATAGATAGATAGATAGATAGATAGATAGATAGATAGACAGACAGAAAAAATACCAATATATGCACACAAATATACCTATATACACATATGCATTTGTATATACAGATACATGTATATGTATTATCCATAGTCTTTATCTTATCTCTCTATATTCTGACTCCTATATGGGAAGAGAGCAGAAAAATAGTAACTGAGAAAAGATCACTTCAGGGTGCAGCAAAGCTGGATGCAGAGGGAAAAAGAAAGCAACTTTTTGGCTTGTATATATTTGAGATCCATAGGTTTACATCAGCTGGAGTTTTAACAGAAGGTTGTGGTCCTAAAGAAAGAATTAAACCCGGTGAGGTGAGTGAGCTGTAAGAGTCAGAGAGGATGGATGCATTGACTTCAGAGAGGGTGAGTTTAAGCCATGCTGCATGGGGCATTGCTGGTGTTTTATGTGGCTTCATTGCTTATTGTCTGCTATGGGGGACAGTGAGCAGCTGCTTCCTGGTGGTTGGGTGTATTATGGAGAGGATGACTGTAAAATCCCAATACCTTCCTTTCCATACAACTCCAGTTGGGACACTGTGAATGTCTCATTCTTTAGCAGGGAGAAGCCCATTGTCCACTTCTCCCTGAATGTTTCCCTCCACCTTTGGACTTAACCCCAGGCAGCTCCCCACCAGTGCTCAGTTAAAGCAAGGAAAGAGACACTGCAGTCAGGAGCTGCAATCCAGCAGCTCACATGGGGCCACTGTTGTTTCAGCAGCCACAGTTCCAGTAAGGAGTTAAACCAAAGTAAAAGGAAATAAAATAAAATAATCTGCTTCTGCTTTGTAATATTTTATGTTTAGTTATTTAACGTCTGCTTACTTTTGTGATCTACCATTATATTTGAGCTACTTGGCTAATCCTATGAGTTTTTTCTCAAGGACATTTGCAGAGATGTGCCTATTATAACTGTTTCATTAAGGACTGAAGTTAAGCAGGGAGCAGAATGAAAGACAGCAGTTTCCCTCAGGTTTACCCTACTTTAGATTAGATCCAAATGTACATGAGACATTGCTGTAACATAAGGGTAAACTGGAATGAATAGGAAATCAGTCTCATGTCTTTTGAATCATATCACAATTTGACAAATAGGTTCAGAATACAATTTTTTCACAGTCCTGCAGGCTGATTGTCAGGAAAGACAAGGGAAAAGAATGATCTGATTCTGCATTGCTTTGTACCTAGCAATCATGTCTCAAAGTGAGTATGAAAGTAACTTTTTCATTGGGTAGGATGTAAAACCCACTGTGTATGAAATTGGCTACCACAGGCACCAAGTGAAATTTGGCTGAGATGTGTTGTCTGGTTTGCAGCAGGTCACTTAGAGCAGGGGAGGTGGCCCAGTCATTTGTTCTGTGCTTCAAAAAACATCAGTGGTACCCATGGTTCACTCCCTTTTCATGCCTTGTTGCTGTGCAGTGTCTGGTATAAGTCCCTAATGTTGCTACTACTTGCATTTACTACTTCATGGCTACTGAGAAACAGGAAAATAAACCTGAGCAGGCAAACAAGATGTAGGCAAAGGCAGAAGGGTTTAATTCCCCCTTTCTGCCAGGGTTCTTGGCCAGTTTTCCTGGCACAATAGGGTCTCATTTTTAGCCATAAGACACCCTACCCCTGTCTTTCTAAAGCAGGATTTCAGGAGACCTCCCAAAAAACTCACTTCCTTTTCAAACCAGGACAATGACCCTGGAAAACCATGTGTATTTTTGTAGGGAACACAACTGTGCCTCGGTTCTCTTTTAGGATAGCAGGTGGTGCATCTGTGTAAGGTGCTCTGAAGATGCAGCCGTGTACCGAGTGTGTGTTTTCAGTCTGTCAGAGGTTCAGGATTACAGGTACACACAGTGGGACAGTGCAAGGCAATACAAAGATCTCAGGGAAGCTCTGGGATAAGCTGTGTTTGGGTGCCACTGGCAAATCATTCATTTCAGGCTAAACTGAGCCCCTCATGCTACACTTAATTGTAGATACACCCACGGTTAGACACAGAAATGAGGCTGTGTAACTTCTGCCAGGGGACAGCTTGGAGAAACAACCAACAGCCCTCAGTGTCTATGGCCTGGATCCAAAGGAGGGTTTTAATATGAAATGTGTTTATTTTCTTCCTGCCTGTGAAACAAAGATGGTAAAGCAGCATTACATTTTCTGAAATAGGAATATTTTGTCTTTGTGAATCATCTATTAGTGAAATAGTAGTTATATCTAGTTAAAAGATCTATTTCTTTCAAATTCAGATCTCACACAACACCAAATTGAGTTCATAGAAAGCTTTGATGAGCTGAAGAATTTGTTTTTATAAAATTTGTGAATGTGATTAACAGGCTTATCACCACAAATAAACAGATGCATGTCTTTTCCTGCACAGAATTTTAGCATGAGCTTCAAGACTGTATGCATGGGAACTTTCTAATTTTACATTTGATAGGGAGATACTGTTCCAGCAAAACACTTTGTAGGGTTCCCTAACTTGCTGTAAGCATCTGTTTTGGGACACACTCAAGTTATTTGCTGTTTAAAGACTAAAGCAAAGCTTTAGAAAAATTGCAAATGTGCTTGTGCAGCCAGAGAGTGACCTATGGATTGGGCCTAGCCTATCTGAATAATTCATGAGGTTTTTGGTCTTTCCTCCCTTCCTGGGGACCTCACAGAAATGGGCAGGAATGGGGCCATAGATCAATGAGGCTTTTTCCAGCAAATTGCTCCCTGCCACCTGATTTCCAACAGCTCTGCATGTCCTTCCTGTGTGGAAGTGACGTGTGAGTGGGCAGGATCCCATTCTGTGGCTCTGCCTGAGCTGTGGTCAACACCCCAGGGCCAGTCCTTACCTCTGTGGTTTGGGGCACACGTCAGAAGCACCTAGAGATGATACCATGTTCTCCTGGGAGTCTGCCAGTCTCAGGGTGCAAAACCCTCTTTGGATGGTAGAAGTCCAGGGTTTAGATGTATCTCCACAACCCTACAGCCATGTCAGTCTCTGCCTCCTGAGACAGAAAGGCAAAATGTTCCTAATGGTTGATGCAGGGATCTACAAAACCCTGCACTCTCTGACTCATCCCTACCTGCCAGTTGTGAGGGACATGGGCATACTCCAAAGGAACAATCCAGTGGCACCTGGCTTTCAGAGGAATATGGGATCCCTAGGGAAGATCCACAGCAATGAAGAGTGTAAGGGGTGTTTCTCTGTCATACTCCAGGACCTCATGGATTGCTGTGGAAAATTATGCACTGCTGTGGTTGCTGGCTGGACACCAGCACCCAACAAAGCCCCTCTGCTTCCTCAGCTGGGCAGGGTGTAGAAAATACAACAAAAATAGACTCTTCCTTTCCTCTTAACAAACAACACTGATGGTCTTCGTCATGAAGCTCATCATCAAAATGGAATGTCTTCCTTTCCCATTGTTAAGTGGCTTTGAAGAGATTTTAGGTCAATACACATGGTGCAGAAAGTCCTCTTGTGCTGTTTCTCTTATGGCTGATTCATGTGGCATCCCTTTGGGCCTTCAGTGACATTGTTATTCCCTGTCAGATGTCCTGTGATGTCTTCCTTAGCTGGCTGAAGGGATACTGGCCTAGTACCAACAGGAAGAATATGCCATTGCATGGCCAGGCTTTTTTGGGGCATTCTGAGCCTTTCTCATGCCCGAGGACAGTGGCAACTCTGGTTATAAGGCTCAACACAATAAAAAACCTGTGCTTCATGTGGTATGGTCTGGCACAAGGAACAAAGACTTCATTTCACAGTCTGTGCACATGTAGCAGCATCCTCCCTTCTGCCTCCATCTCCCATGATCATCAATGTCATTACCTGTCTCTTCTCCTCACCTTCCCTCCAGTGAATTTTCCCATTCCCTTCAGTCTCCCTCTGCCTTTTTCACCTTCTTCTCTTTTACTCTTCAGATAACTGGCTGCCTGCTCATGCCTATTACCCATGCCTCCAGTTAACCCCAAGATCTCCTTGCCCTTTCTCCACAAAGAAACCTCTTTCCATGGAAAAAACCCAGCAGCTGTTGTTCATCTTCATCAGCTACAAGAGGCAAAAAGTTCTGGCTTCACTGTGGGAACCAGCTGCCCTCTTTCCACCTCTGCTTCCTTCTCAGAAATCAGGTTTCCCAACATACTGCTGGAGACACATGTGACATCCAGATGTTGTCCAAATGGGGCTCCTTCATAAAAATACATGAGCATCACGGGTCCCTCCAGGTCCCTGCAAGATATACAAGTGTACAGACTCCACTTGCATCCTCCCTAGCCCTTCCCTAGCCAAAATCCTGCTGCAGTTTGTGCAGGTGCAGGGATGAACATAACACAGGATCTGCCTGACACGTGCAGGACACTTTAAATCTGCACCAGCTCATGACTATGGCTCCAAGGTCCACCACCCTTCTGCACCTCCTCACTCCATCCTTCCATGTCTCTGACATAGGAGGTGTTATCTGTCTTCTTACTTGTTGTATTTGTCTTCTGAGAGGATGCTCTAGACTTTCCCAGGTGGTGCAGGGGACAGGGCATGGCACAGTAGCACATTCCAATCTCTGCCATATTTAAAGTGATATGAACAGATGACCCCATTCTATAGAATACTGACTGTTATCTCTTTTACTGTGTGAATAACTGGGTACCAGATACCAGAATTTCCTACATATTTTGCTTTTAAGTCACCTTTATGTTTCTGTGCATTATTATTCTCTTTATTAGTGTCTGAGCTGCTAGCAGTCTGGCTTCTTCAAACTACTTTTCCTCCTCCCTGAAAATCCCCTAACACTTCCTCTCTGTGAAACACTTTCCCTTCACCCGTGGCTCTTCTCTGTAGGAATTACTGCATTTACATATTTTGTTCAAGGTGCTTAGGAATTATTGGCAGGTTTGCCTTGCCCCTGGGGGCTGATGTGACACAGTCGAGCTGTGAACCACTTAAAGCATTGAGTGGCTCACAGGAGGGATTACTTGTGACTCTGAATTAGGGCACGGGCCAGGAAATGTAGCACAGTGCTGTCAGGGGCTGTGGCACACAGATCCATTTCCTCTATAATCCCATCATATCTATGACCTACCACACAGAGAGCAACGTAAGAGATCTACATTTTCCCATTAGCACAAGATCCAGGCTTCCTGTGAAATAAATTTACTCACAGTCCCTACACTACTTCTTTGCAAGCCTGGAAACCCTGTTTTTATTATGTCAGTGAGTTTATTTCTGAATTCTTTCACACTGAGAATCCATCTGGATATACTACTTTCAAAGTGTCCTGCTGAGATTCTGCTTTGCCACTAGTTAAAAATGAATGGATAAATTTATAAACAGGAAGTTTATTGTATTTTTCAGCTGAAAGATATTCTAGAGTTTATCTTGGCTTAGATTTTTATTAGTGGCATTTTGGTTTTTATTGTGTTGTTTTTTTTATTCTTTTTCCCAACCATTTAATTTTGCTAGCACCCCTGGAAGGAACAGTGAGTCCAGAATTAGAAAGCTGAAATAAAAGGAATGAAGTTCCTGGAAATGAGACTGGAACAAAAAAACCAAGAAATCCAAATCAGTCACAAGCTAAGGATTTTGACTTTCCCTTAACAAAGACAAACCATTTTCCAACAGGAAAGACATACCTGGCCTTGGAAAACTGCTAGTAACATAAAATATAATTGAGCAGATGGTAACAAAAATAGCACTTGAGCTGTTTAAAAGCCTGTTATTGAATGTCTCTTCTTTTTTTTTTTTTCTTTCCCTTCCAGAATGCTGTTGTCCTCTCTAATTTAAGAAAAGACAAGAAACACAGGCAGATTGTGAGATCTGTATGTTTTTCTTCACCTTGTTCTATTTAAATTGCACACCATTAAATGTGGTTAAGGGAATAACTTAAAAGTTGCAAAGCAATGAGAACAAACATTGATAGTGGAATCTTAATTCAGCTCCTTCATGCATGTGGATACACTCTTCAATTGGTTTAACACTATCTTTTTTTCTCTTTCAGAAAATCCTGACACATTCAGCACCCTAAAGAAATGGGGTTTTGTCAATAATTTGATTTCCCTGCACTGCTCGGTGACTCTGCCTTGCCCTTTGTGTACTGTGCACTCATCTTCCTCTGCATTACAGGGAGAATGGTCCATTTCTTTTCAGAAAAAAAATTCAAGTGTTTTGAAGCTTTTTTGTTTCATTTAGTTTTTACTCCACTCCTGAGGTAGGGCTCGTATGTTGGTTTTCTGTTTCCCAGGTAAGGCATATGCATTAAAACCCAAAAGTGTTAGTGACTTCTTAGTACCTGATTTTTCACACTTAGGAGCTCTACACTTTCAGAATAGCTTACATGATACCTTGAAGCAGTGGCTGGTGCTCACCTTATATTAAGTTTGTGCTCCCAGTTGTTGGTTTTTATCTGGTCCTAGAGTTTGACTAGGAGAACCTTATGGTTTTCTTAGACTCATTCTCATAAGTAACTAAATCTTTTTGTGTGAAATTATGCAGAGAGGCAGAGAATCAACATGGGAAAGTCCATCTCAACAACAAAATTTTAGCAGGGGTGTAAATTGTTGTAAGCTGAGCTTCATCGTGGGAAATGCTCAGTAATTAGACTACTGCTTGGTATTAATCCTGGAGTTCTAACAGAGAGAAGAGAAGAGAAGAGAAGAGAAGAGAAGAGAAGAGAAGAGAAGAGAAGAGAAGAGAAGAGAAGAGAAGAGAAGAGAAGAGAAGAGAAGAGAAGAGAAGAGAAGAGAAGAGAAGAGAAGAGAAAAAAGAAAAGAAAAGAAAAGAAAAGAAAAGAAAAGAAAAGAAAAGAAAAGAAAAGAAAAGAAAAGAAAAGAAAAGAAAAGAAAAGAAAAGAAAAGAAAAAAGATTCTAGATGGATTTTGGCCTGGTAGCTCTCTTATGGTGTAGAAGGAGCACCTCATGTGGTGACAGCTATCAGATCCTGGCCATGGAACAGAAGCAGCTTCTCAGAACAGTTTTGTGATCACATCAAATGTCCATCAAGGAGAGTATTTTCTGTCTAATCCTGGTCAGTAGCATGTACTTAGAAAAACTTGGGGACTGGACAAAATAGAACATTTTTCTCTTGATATACCACTTATGGCTTCCAGCAACCTGTGCTTTAGGGATTTTAATCTTCTTTTGATCCCATTATTCTGTTTGCCTTTACAAAAACCCTACTGTGGGGATTTCCCTCACCAAAATAGTCAGTGTGTGAAAAGCACTTCCATTTTTTCTTAATTTTAATCCTGCCTCAGCAAGAACCCTGATCTACTGTGTTCTGGGAAACCACAAATACTTTTTCCTTCCTCATTCTCTTCAATTCATTCATGGTTTTAGACATTTTTCATACCCTTCCCCTGTATAAAAGATAAAAAAATCTCAGACTCTTCAGTTTTCCTTTCTCATGATTTGCTTCTGTCCACATTTCTGCCCTTCTCTATTCTTTTTGAGCTTTACATTCCCTTTTTGTGAGATCAGCACACCACCATTTGGAGACCTCCAGGTGTGGGAGAAATACCTATTATTACAGTCTCATAATGATGATATTGGCTTTCTATGTTTTTTTCCTCTTCCTTCCTGAAAAGTTCTAACATTTTCTTTGTCATTTTGACAAAGGAAAGCTGAGCTGGCATTTTCAGAGAAACTGTCATAAGGAGTAGTAGTTAATTTAGAGGCCATTGTATCACATGCAGAGCTAGGGGTTTTTTTTGTCTAATCTGCAGTTTTTCACATTCAATGACAGTGATTTTCATCTGCCATTCTATTGTCCAGTCAGTCAATATTGTGAGAACATTTTGTGCTTTGTAGCTGCTAGTTTGTTTTTTTACTATTCTGAATATCTCTCTATATAAGTAAGTCTCATGTCTCATCAGTCAACCATTTTCCAGATCTTTCCAAACTGTGTTAATCAATATCAGTCCCAGGACAGATAACTGGGGAACTCACTGGGGAGGGAGGTTTTCCTTTATAATGGAAATAGAATACGAATCCCTTCCCTTTGCTTCCTCATTTTTCAGGCACCTTCTACCTGCTATTGTCTTTGCTAAATTTCCTTGAGACTCTTTTATGAGGATATTTGTCAGAAATGTTGCAAAGATCCAACTAAAAGTCACATGTATCTCATAGGGTCAAAGTGCTCCTGCAGCCATGTGCAGCACAGCCTTCCCCATAGGGAGAACCTATTCCCAACAGCTTTTTCCTCAATTACCAAAGGCCATTCCTCACTAATTTCTTAGCAATTTTCTGGTGTTACAGACAGGCTTATTCATCTCTTTTTCTCCAGATCACCCTCAAAATACTATTAAACAACAGCTGACTGATTCTGCTCTGGTAACAGGGCTGAATTAAGAAAGAGGCTACAGATCACAGATCAGCAGTTTCGTATCTGAATGCCTCTATTGCTTGGGACTCAAAGTTTTTTATTGTTCATTTTATCACTTTTTTTATATATTCTTGCTCTTGACAGCTAGATTTGAGACAAATCACCTTTAAAGAAAGACTATGGTGAACACTGATGCAAAAAAATAATTTGTGTTTTCTGTTATAGCCTTAACATCCTTCAGTGCTTCTTCTATACCTGGGCTATTTATTGCTCCTCCAACTCTGCCAGTTTTCTTCTGAGGTAGTAAAGTAAAAAAAAAATGCCATTCATAGTTGTGCTTTTTTTTCCATATTTCACCTCAAAACTCCTTCCTGTTTAATGTTTGACACTGAAGCTTTTATAGATCATAAAGCAATTGCCTAAATCCTATCTCTAAGACCAATAGGCAGAAGACTGCAAGAAGAGGGAATGATGTAAATGAGCTATACTGAAGATGAACTTCCCAGCTGTTTGTGAAGACAGGGATATTTGTGGCCATTTGGATGGCATCTGAAGTGACTTGGATAAGTGTGAGGTAGGTACCAGAACTCATAAGTTCAATTTAGTGGAATATCAAAGTACCCTTGCAGCTACCTCTTCCAGCAGTCCACAGGTTTTACTTCATCAATTCTTATGTGGCTGTCAAGGCTTGCTGTGGAAAGTCTTGTGGAGAAGTAAATGGGAAATACTTTGCTGACACTGCTCAAAAGAACTCTTATTTCTTGGACTGGCAATTTCATTTCTGACTTCCTCACCTTTCTGGTCATACTTCTAAATATTAAAAGAGTCAGAGATATTACCCTTGCAGTAAAACCCCCCTTTTTTGATTCTCTCTCTGTTTCATATTTCCTGAATTGCTTTTATGGGAGCAAAACAAGAGAATATGGAGTGAAATGTCTAACCTATTACACCGGACTGATCAATATATGTCTTTTTTTGAACTACAGTAGAAAGATGAAGTTGGCTTAGGTGGTTTCTCAGCTTACAACTAACTTTCTTTACTTCAGTCTAGGCAGACCCAAAGGAAACTTTTGCATACTAAAGAGTAAAAAAGGCTTGAGGATATCTGCAAAAAAAAAAGACACTTCCCTCTGGTTTCAACTCAATGGGACTTGCTGACAGTTCAACTAGAGAAAGAAGAAAACTGGCACCAAGTGCTTGCAAAAGGCCTGACAGATTTATTGCAACCAACTACCTGTACCCAGCATGTAAACACATATTGCTGAGTACTTGAGACAGCCCCACGCTCAGAGGGTGGCTGTCAGAATAACTTTAACTTTCTGAATTTGCTAGTCTAGATAACACCTGCTACTGATGAAGCAGATGAGACAGGCAAAGGAAAGATTTGACTTGCTGTAGATTATGATGAAAGCAACTGAGACAGAATGAAAAAGGTCTGAAAACCTTTAGACACATCAGCTGTGAGTTGTGGCACAGAAAATAAGACCTCAAGAGTGTGAAATATCTATGGCATAAATAGGCAAAGTGGATTGGCCACTTGCAGATCATTGGCTATACTCAACGGAGAGAAGCAACAATTATTTTTTCTCTTTGTTTCAATTTGAGATCTATAATTGTTCTTACCCATTTTTGACAACTCTTTTTATATGTAGGGTGTTGGATGACTCACATCCTTAAGCTGCCTGTCTCCCTCTGCTAATTGTGAAATGAGTCTTGGTTGCACCCCAGACATGTGGCCAGATGCACACCTGTGCAGATGTTGCAATTGATGGTGTCCATCTGAGTCCTAAAAGTGTCTGAGCCCCAAATGCCCCTGGTGGAGGGCTCAGAGGGCTCTGCAGAGGGCTCCCCATGGCAATGCCCATCCTCCCCTCATGTCAGCTCAGCAGCCCCAGGGTTCCCAGCCTGCAGCTCCCACAGCACAGCCACGGATCCTTCCTTTCCTCTGCAGTGCTGGAGCGCTGTCAGTCACTGAAACTGAGAGGATTAGGGAAGAATAAAGAAAATCCCCACTGCTTTCTGCCTCGGGGCAGCAGAGGGCTGCAGGAATGGACACGCCAGGATCACCTTGATTTATAGAGTGGCATCCTAGTTGTTCTCATGTATTTAATCCTTTTGTGCCAGCTGGAAGTTGAAAAGTCTGCACTGTAAAGTTGAATTGTATACTTATAAGTCTAATTAAAAAAAAAAGGAGATTAAAAAAAAAAAAGTCTGGTTAGGGTTTGGAAAATCTAAAATCTACTTCCATGTGATAGTAGGTGTTTCTATAGGAAGTATGAGAAATAACAGTGAGATGGGAAATAAAAGCTACAGATAGAATATTTTTTCGAGTTTTTTTTTGTTTTATTAGTGTTAGAGAAATAGAAGAAAATATTTTTGTGTACTGTTTTGCTCTGACTGACACATGCTCAAATTTTAATGTTGCTATCAGCCATTCTCTCAGCAAAAACATATTTTTGTGAATAAATTCTCTTTATGTTATTTCTTACAGTGCTAAAACTCTGTCAAATAATTATGTTAAATACATATCTGTGATGAAAGATGAGTGAGATAGGGTGCAGGTGACTGCATGGAAAATGAACTTTGCAGCCTTTCACTTGCACTATTTCCTAATAAGTTTCTCTCATACACCAGTACTGTAAACCTCTGAGATTGTCCTTATACAGCAAACACAGCAAAATAAAACTGAACTCTTCTCAAAAATAAGTGACTTTCTATTTAATAAGCATTCTTCACTTATTTCTCTGCTCCCAGAATTACAGTTTTCTCAAACACAAAAAAGCAAGATCCAGCACAGACCCATTTTACCCTGTTTATGTTTATTTACACATGCTCCCCTACACAAATCCTTCCAGTTTCATACTTAACTATCTCTTTTTAACATGGAAGTTGCTACCATGGGAAACATGGTAAAATGGTATGATGTTATGATAGAATTTACTATTCCATAGAATCATTTAGGTTGAAAAAGCCCTCTAAGATCACAGAGTCCAACCATTAACCCAGCAATGCCAAGTCCTCCACTAAGCCATGTCCCCAAATGCCACATCTGCACATCTTTCAAAAGCCCCCAGGGCTGCATCACTGCCTGTTATTTTAGTACAGGAGACTTCTAACTATTTAAGTTTTAAAGGCCTTGACTTATTCAAATTAAATTAATTTTGTGTGTTTGGGGGATTTGGGGATGAGATTTGCAAGCAGATACTAAGGCTTTGAAGATATACAAATGTTATCTAACGCAAATTCCTCTGGTATTCATAAAATCTCATCTCACTGCACCTCATTTTGGATGTGTCTGGAACCCGCTGCTGCACAGCGTGGAATAAGCCAGCCT